TGAAGATTCATAAACCACGTTTTAAGACTGCTGCCTCCCACATCTTTCTCTTTCTTGAGCTACTCGCTTATTTTCTCTGGAACACATCCTCTAGTAGTTTTTTTGAGAATGGATGAGTCGGGGTAAACTTGGGGGGACGCCATATGTCTGCAAATGTCTTTATCCTACACATTAATACCATCTGGTTGGGTATAGAATTCCAGCTTGGAAAGCATGTCCCTCGGCAGTGTGACGGCGTTTCCCCAGGTGTCCTGGCTTCTAGGGCTGCCGGTGGGAAGCCAAGAGTCACCCTGATTCTCACGCTTCACACATCACGGTTCTGGGTGTCTGGGTCGCTTCCTCTCTGGAAAGTTGCAAGATCCTGTCTTTGTCCCACGTATCCTGGGGCTTCACAAAGTTGTGCCTTTTTGAGGGTCGATTTTCATTGTCCTGGGCACTCGGTGGCCAGCTGGACACCACTTGTGTCCATTTATTTGGAATTTTCCTTGTGCACGTTGATTTTTATTTCCTCCCCTCTCCGCTAAACTCTCCTCTGGCGTTCCAGTCGCGGGGCCAGCAGCCCTCCTGGTCTGGTCCTGCTCCGTCCCTCCTGCTTTCCATCCCCGAGTCCTTTCCTTCTACTTTTAGGAGGTTCCCATGACTTCATCGACAGCCCTCCTCCTGAGTTTTGACTGTGTTTCAGCGTTTACAATGTCCAAGGTCTCTCTTTTGTTCTCTGAGTGCACGCTCCTGTTTTCTTTCTTCCGTTTCTCAGTTGCAGCATCTTCTCTTACCTTGATGAGCACCTTTTTGATCGTCATGGCTTTTAACTTCTTACACCGTTTCTATTTCCTGCAAGTTCCTTTTGTAACTTTGTTTTGGTCTCTGTCATTCATGCGAGCACTTGGAACCAATGTCAGAGCATGTGGTGGCAATTTTGTGCTTCACGGCACAGGGGTGGTGTGTGCATTTCAACCGAGAATTCAAAGGTAGTCTTTTCAGGCCTTTCCTCTTGGTTTGGTCCCATTCCCCTAGGATCTGGAAAACTGGAAGAATTTCTTGCCTGGGATGTGAAGGCCTCGCCCAGTGGGGAAAGTGGGCTGCGGTCCCACCCACATCTGGAGTCTAGGGTGGCATCTCCCTAGACAGAGCCTGGCTTCTCCGCCCTCAACAGAGCCTGGCATCTCCCAGGCCAGAGACCCCCAGACGTGAGTCGCCTGCTGGGTGGACAGGGGACAGCTCAAGGCCGGGAACCAGTCTGCAGCTGTTTCTGAATCTTCATCCCACCGTCTCCCCTGTTTCGCCTCCATATCCACAAGAACTGACACCACCAATTCCTGAGGCTTTCAGGGACTGTGAAAATTTTGAATTGGGCTTGTTTTCAGCTCTCCCTGCTGCTGTCTTAGGATCCCACATTTCTGCCGCCCCAGGGTTTTTGGTACTCTCTCCTCTTCTCCCACCCTCTTCAGAAATCCCGCTGCTTTCACCTCACTGAGGTTCTGGGAGGGAAGGGTGAGACTTGGGGTTCCCCCTGTAACCGCACCCTGGAGTCCCCTGAGCCAGCTGCTCGTCCGCCTTCCAGTTCTCCAACCTCCGAGATGATAAGAAGCACCAAGAGGTGATGGCACTCATCGAGAAGGACAACCTTGTCCTCCGACAGGTGACCGTGGGCGTGGTTAACCGGTGACAAAGCCACAGGGAAAGTTAGCTGGCACCCTCCGCACCGCTGAGCTGAGGGCCACTTATCATAGGCCGTGCCCCATTTGACAAACTCAGGAGGGCAAACCCACACAGAGGCTGGGTCCAGCTTTGATTTGAGGGACTCGGAGGGTGGGCCATCTTTGGGAAAGAAGGGGTGGGGACAGGTGTCACCAGTTTGGGCCAGGTGGACCTATTCCTCTGTCTTCCCTGGTTCTTCCCCAGCAAGTGTGGGAGCTGGAACAGGAACTCACCAAGAGGGAACACACCATCTCGCAGTCCAACGCCAAGGTCAGCCACCTGCAGGCCCAGCTAAGCCAGAACGAGAAGCACCTGGAGGGACAGAAGCAGGAGGAGATGCAGGTGAAGATGGAGCTGGTCCAGCAGGTCGAGCAGCAGGCCCGCGTGGCCCTGGAGAGCACACAGTCCAGGGTATGCCTGGCCCCTCCCGCTGAGGCCCCGCCCCGCCTGAGAGCCAACTCCTTCCCCTGAGGCCCTGCCCCTCCTCCTGAGGGCCGGCCCCTCCCCTGAGGGCCCACCCCTATCCCTGAAGACCACCCTGAATTGCGCAGTTCCTGGTCCCTAAAGCAGTGAGGACCAAGGAGTTTGCCTGCCTTCTGTAGACCTTCAGCTGGCTCTGGGAACCTTCCTTCCTCCCGGGAAGGCTTGAGCCAGTATTTTGCATTTGCTCCCAGCTTGAAAGGCTGAGAACCAAGATCATGCAGGCCACCTTCAGCACCACAGGGGTCAAATCCTTGGCCACAGAGATCTCTGACAACGACATCCTGGAAGCCCTGCAGGTAGAGCCCGCCCTCAGCGGCCTCCTGGGTCCTGGCCAAGACTCCAGGCCAGAGCTCCCGGCATCAGGGCAGCGGGGGAGCTGGGATTGGATGTTGGGGACACCCATGCTCATCCTGGCCTGTTGAGTGTCACTGTTCACTGTGAGCCCCGGATTGTCCTTTCTCTCTGCTCAGGCAGAGGAGGCCGGATCTCCCAAAGGGACGGTGATGTCATGGGGCTGGCGAGGCGAGGCTGCCCTCAGCATTGAGTGACGAGCAGCAGAGGCAACCCTCTGGGAGGCACCGGGGAGGGAGCCAAGCTGCCGGGGTTCTGGAGGGTCTCCTGTGGCAGGAGCCTGTCCCCAGGCTCTGCCCAGCTCAGCCTCCTCACCACGCTTCCAGGCACTCAGCATGGCCTCAGCAGAATCGCCAGCCGCTGAGCCAGGACCCTGGCATGGACCCCCGTCCCCGGCCTGGGCCCGTGCCAGCTCCTCGCCAACCCCAAGCAGAGGACTCAGGGGGCAGGGTGGTGTGGCAGAAACGGCGCGGGCTTTAGGGCCTGCCGTGGAGTCACCACCCGCCTGGCCTTTGGCCAAGAAGCTGTGCACCCAACTTGACTCACTGAGCCACAGGGCTTCCCTGTGGACACTGGAGACCATGTGCCTGCCTGTGCCTGCCATCGAGGTCAAGGCCACAGCGGGGACAGTGCGCCTGCTGTCAAGGCGTCATGGGCCACAGCGCCTGGCTTACTGGAGTGCTGTGCGGTCTTTGTCACTAGGGGCTGCTTCTGCCCCAGGCCCCAAGCCCCTCTGATGTCACAGCCCTTGGTCCCCAGCAGATACCCTTGGCCTTCAGCACCACATTTCCCTGAGACCTGGTTCCTTTCTTCTGTCAACTGCAGCGGCCAATGGTGTTCCTGCAGGGTGGCAACAGTGCTAGGAAAAGGGGGACCCCTGCAGCGGGTCTGGGGAGGTCTGCGTGGCTTGCCTACTGTTTGGGCAAAGGGAAGAGGGAGGCGGTAGAGAAGGGAAGATGAAGGAGGGAAGCGAGGAAGGGGAAGGGAAGAGGAAGGGGAAGGGAAGTGGGACAGGAGGGAGAGAGAATGGGTGGGGGGAGGACTAGGGAGGGAAGGATAGGAGGAGTCATCAGGGCCGCCCAGGAGCCTGGAACAGGCCTTTCCTTTGCCAGAGCCCCACAGGAAACAGCCCAGGCATAGAGGAGGCTTAGGGAGGTGATGGGACCGCCTCCCTGGGAGGGACAGGAGGAGCCTGAGGGACAGACCAGGGGCCTCCGGGGTCTCTGAGTCTCAGTGGACTGCACAGGTGGAATTAGGGCTTGTCGGGCGGGAGTGGGGATGAGAGTGAGGGCTTCTCAGCACAGGAGTTGGCAAGAAACCCAGAGCTTCGTCCCTCCACCTGTGGAGCACGGGTTGGAAATACGCCCCAGCTGCTGCAGCCGTCCTGGGGCAGGACAGGTGGTGTCCGGCCCAGGCAGCCTCTGCTGCATTCCTTTCCAGAGGGTCATCGTGGAGAGAGAACCGACTACTACAATCAGCTGAGACAGAAAGGTGTCAAGGTGCCCCCACTGCTGCCAGAGCTCCTGTCCTCGCCCAGCAAATCCAGGAAGGTGGTCTCCTCCAAGTGGGCCCAGCCCGCTGAGGCCAGGAAGCAGCTTGGAAGCAGCCCGATGCCCCCTTTTGCCCTGATTCATAATTAAACCCCGTCGTTGGTCATGGCATCGCCTTTTCCTCCCCCAGGACTCAAACGGGGGCTTGGGCTCTATCGACACCCCCCCCCATTTGCTGGGCATCAGTGCACCAGCCCCTACCCCTGGCTCTCTCCCTGGAGACCCCACACTGAGCAGGGTGCCCTCGGTGGTCCCAGGTCTAGGCCTAGCCACTGCATTCAGGTCCTGCCTCCGGTGCTGCACACGCCTGTGAAGGCCCTGCCCCCACGGAGACTCCCCTGCCTGGGGCCCTGCCTTGCTGGCGGGAACCCTTTGCAAGATGGGTGGGGTTGGGTACTTCCATATATTTTGACGAAAAATATCCAGCCTAAGAGAAAACTTATGAGTTTATTTGAGCCAAACTATCAACAATTGCCGGGAGCAAAGTCTCAATGCATTGAGAAAATGCTCCGCAAAATGGCAGTTTGCAGTTTATTTTATACATAAAATCAAAGGAGGAAGGTTACAGGAAATCCACTGGTGATAGATGAAGGGGGTGGGAGAAAGGAAACTGGGGAAATCGCTGAGATTGGATAAGAGTAAATTGGAGAGACAGGTACTCCTCCCACACAGGAGGGTGCAGAATAGCTAACAGTTTGCTTTTCTCAGCACATAGAGATGTTAATCAGGAGATGAGCAAAATAATGAGGAATTTTGCAGTTTTCAACTCTGGTCTGAAAATAGGATTAAAGATGTTATCTTAGGTACAGAAAGACAGAGAACAGGCCCACTGAAAAGGCACAGATTAACTTAATGAGGAAGCTCAAGATGTGACTTCCCACCATGGCCCACCTTAGTTAGGAATTTTTATGTTCACACCATCCTGTGGTTATGCTCAGTCTCCTGAGCTTGTCAGGCATAACATGTGGCCCCTTTTCTGTCCACACCACCATGGCTCCTGCGATGAAATCTTCAGGAGGGCGGGGCACTTGTCTGTCAATCAAACCGATGTCTGTGCGGCCACCGCAGGACCTGGGCACAGAAGCACGTGCTGAATGCTGGAGGCCCGCCAGGCTTTGCCCTCTGCCCACACCTGACTTTTCACCCGTGCAGCACCGGCTCGCGGAGTGCAGGCCACCTCGGCCTCTGGCCCCTCGGCCAGGAGCTCTGACGACCAGCCCCGAGCCACGCAGGCCCAGGGCGCCCCAGCCCGGCCGCTGCCGCTTCTTCCGGACACCGAAGCTCCCGGAGCCGCTTCTGCGCTGGAGCCCGTCTTGGCGGAGGGGGGAGGGGGGTCCAGGGAGCATCGCCGTCATAAGGCCCGTGTGCTCCGTGCCTCTGCGTTTGGGACACGGGAAGGTTTTATCCCTTGGGAGAGTTCTAGTTTTCTGAAATCCGTCTTAAGAAAGTCCTGAGTTCAACGTCTTTAGCCAGGAGAAGGGAGGGGGGCGGGCAAGAGATGGGGGAGATTTCCTGACAGCCAGACGCCCGCAGAGTCCCAGGAACAGCAGGAAGTCTCCAAATCTCTGTTCCCAGGCGGTCCCCGACCCCGCTGAGCCGCGTCTGCTCCTGAGAGTCTTACAAATCTCTCATCAACAGTCGAGGCTGTGCATCTGTCCCCCCACCTATTCAGGAGGCTGTTTTTGGAGCATTCCGCTCGCAATGAGCAAATCTACAACAGGAACCGTTCGCCGTAAGGTAGGAGAACGCGCGCTAGAATGGACGTCAGAGTCAGGCAGCAGAAGCAGCGCGTCCCGACACGTTCACAGGAGGACGCGCGGCGCCCTCGGGGCGGCACAGCGGGGACGGGGCTCGGGGATCTTGCCGCGACCGGTGCTGGGGTGCAGCGCCCCGAGGCCCCTCCCCTCTGCCGCTCCTCCGACATGCGGTCCCTGCGCCCCGCCCCTGCAACCCATCCCCGCGGCCCCCACCCCCTGCTGCTGCTCTGCGCCCCGGAGGCCTCTCCGCCTGCAGCCCCCGCGTCCCCCGCGGTGCGGTCCGGGAGGGCCCCGCTCGCCCCGCCCCTGTCCCGCCCGCGGGCCCCGCCCCGCCCCCCGGAGATTCCTCGCGCCCGGGACTGATCCGCGCGACACGGGGTGGCCCGGGAGGGGGGAGGCGGGCAGTGGGGTTGTCCCTGGCGGAGGGACCCAGGGACCGATCCGCCGAGGAGCGGCCAGATGCGGGCCGCCTGGGGACACTCCATGGCCCGTTCCCTTCCGACCCCCGACAAGGCCAATTCTTTTCACCTTTTCTTTTTTTAAGGTTGGAGGCATCGGCAGCGGGCTGGGAGGAGGTGAGACCCACTGGCCGGGCTCTGAGCATCTTCCTGGGCCACGGAGGCTTCACTCCCCCGCCCCAAGACTCTCCCTTTGTAAATGGTGGGCTCCTCAGAGGCGCTTTGGGGGTGAGGGGGGTCTCAGATCTGTGCAGCTGGCGTCCTCACAAGCTGCCAGGAGGTGGTGGGTGGTACTCGAGGCGCCCAGGGCTTGGCAGGCCGCCCTGCCAGGCAGCTCCGCCCCAGGCTTGTGGGACGCTGTGCGACCATCGTGGGGGAGGTTGGACGGAAGGTTACTGAGCAAGTGACTGAAGCCCTCAGGAGCCCAGTTCTCGTCCCTCGCCAGCTTCTGGTGGCTTTGTCCAAGCAGGACAACTCTGAGCCACAGTGTGCATCTGCTGGGAACACCTTCCGCTGCAGTGACCGGAGCCCACCCAGCAGCCCACCCACTGTCCCCAGCCGGAATAGAGCAGGATTGACTGCCCTTCCACCAGGAGCTCCCTGGTGGGTTGCTGGCGTGCACTCAGAGACTGCACCATCAGGGCTGGGGTTGCAAGGTAGCTGCTGCAGCTCCAGCCATCACATCAACGCAGGAAGGAGGTGACTGCTGTTTGTCTCATGAAAAGCAAAAGTGCCCACCCTCCACCACCCCAGCTGCACCTCCCTGTGCCTTGCGCACATCTGGGTGACACAGGAAAGCAGGGGTCAGGGGATTAAGCTTGCGTTACCCCATGACTGTCACTTAGGGCAGGCACCTTGCTACCTGGAACAAGACAAAGATTCTGCCCACAGGAGGGAAGGGGTGGGCGCAAGGTAGGTAGCTCACAGAGATGACCCACGGCCCCTCTCTGGGACACACCCTGGGAAAGGCGAGCCCACACTCTGCAAATGCTTGACCTCCCTCAGGCCCAAGCAGCCGCCTCTGAGCCAGTGCCCCCACCGATGACAGGCTTTGTGGCCCAGGGACAGGCTCCATCCTTCCTCCCCGCTGGCCTGGGGTTCGGGAAGGACGAACATGAGGCGTGGCAGTGGGTAACACCTGCCTGGCTTTCTGACTTTCTGGGTGGGCTTGTAGCAGCTAAGTGGCCCACTGTGACTTTAAGCCTCTGTGTCCAAGATCTCCTGGGATCAAGGTCAGTGTTTCTGAGGCCGGTGGGGGCTGAGCCAAGTCTCAGCCCCGAGAAATGAGAGGCCTGCTGCTGCCCGCCTCCCTGCCTCCCAGCTCTTGGACCCCCAGCAGGCCCAGGTGCCCCCCAAGCCCTGGCTTCTCCCACAGGCGGTGGAGAGGGGGGACTGCAAGGCTAACAGGCCAGCGGGCACAGCTGCTGCCAGGCCTTCTCCCACAACCGGACAGGCCAGCGTACCAGCCTCCGCCCCGTCCCTTTCCTTCCCAACCTCCAGAGATGGCCCTGGGGCCTTATCTGTCTGGAATGGGGAAGGAGAAAGGCAGTTATCAGGCCCTGTGGCCTGGCTCCCACCGAGGACCCATGCTGTCCTAGCACAGCTGGGGGGACCCCCAGGGAGGGCGGGGTGGACACTCAGCCGCTCACATAGACTTGCGGCCTCCCCGGGTTGGATTTCCCAAGCTTGGCCTCTCGTGTGTCCCTTAACCACTCTGCTTCGTTCGGGTCACCTGGGAAGGCAGACGGGAGGACGCGCGGGAAGGAGCCAGCCCACCTTCCTGCGTCCTCAGCTCCCAGGCAGACCTTCACCCTGAAAGCACCCCCCTTACCCCTGCTCACTCTCCTTCCCAGGGCCTTGCTCTACAGCGAAGTCAGTCCTCAACGCCTGCCTCCATCTCCCCACCCGCGCGCTGCAGCCCCCAGCCCCCAGCATGCAGCTGCAGGACAGTGGCGTCCAGTACAGCCGGTGGGACGACAGCAGCCGGGATGAAGTCAGCGTGGCGGCTGTGTCCAGCACAGAAGAGGCCTCGAGCTGGGAGAGGTGAGGGCCCCGGAAGAGCAGCCCTGCTGGGCCTGGGCCGGTCACGCCCCACGCCCCCCTCCCGTCCTGCCTGCCTGAGCCCTCCACCTCCACGTGGGTCCTGGCTCTGAGTCCTCCTGTCTCCCAAGCTCAGCAGGGTGCCCTGGCCACTTCCTTCTGAGGACCCCTGCTGGGCACCCCTGAGAAGTCCTCCTCCCCCAGTCCAGCCTCCCAGGCCTGCCTGGGCCTGGGCTCACTTGCCGGCAGCTGTCACCCTAGGTTCTCCCAGAAGCTGCGCTCCGGCAAGCTGGGCCTCGCCATGAAGGCGCTAGGGGGCATGGCCGTCTTCTGGGCCGTCTTCATCCTGGGCTACATCACCAGCTACTTCGTGCATAAGTGTAAATAACTGCTGGCTCCATGCGATTGGGGCACAGGTTGGGAGGGTCCCCGTATACAAGAACCCCACCATATGCACAGACCCTCCCACACACAGACGCCCAAATACACGGGTCCCTTGGGGCCGGCCGAGTGGCGCAATGGTTAAGAACTGGCTTGGGACGCCAGAAGGCTCCGGTTCGGATCCCACATATGAGGGCCAGTGACACTGCCCTCCACAGCTAAGATGCTGAACAACAGCTCTACCTGGAGCTGGGCTGCTGTGAGTCTTCGGCGACGGTGTAGGCTGCAGCCCCTGTGGCAGTGGGTTGCCATGGGCTACAGTGTGTGGCCAGCGGCCAGTGTGAGCGGCCAGCGGCCAGCAGCCAGCAGCCGCAGTGAACGGCTGTACAGAGGCCGGCAACTGATGTGTCTCTCCTGGGAAGAGTGCAATGATGGTGCCAACTTGAGCCAGTGAAGCAATGTCCTCCACAATTAGACTGAAGAACAAAAGGACAGCAACTTGTCTGTTCCCCTTCCCCCAATTCCCCAGCGCTGTTCCCATCCCCCAATTCCCCAATAAAAATCTTTAAAAAAAAAACAAAAAAAAAATTGTTTGGAAATACACATGTGGAAAGGAATACGTCTATGGTAAGCATGTGTCCTCTGCATCTTTGAAACGTCCTTATAGATAGGGAATTTCTCACATTACAAGTCTCGCCTCCCCAAGGGAGAAGACTGCTCAGTTGACTCCCTATATCCACCTCCCCATCTTCTGTTGTCACAGATTCTCCATTTCTGGTGGGCACATTACTTCCCAGGCAAAAGATGTCATTTCCAATATGATTAAGTTCTAGCCAATGAGATATAAGCAGAAGTGTTATATGTTACTTCCAGGAAGTTTCCTTAAGAAGGAAAGAGCAACCCCTATTCCTCCTTCTGCCTCCTGCTGTTTGGAGCTCAGATGTGATGGGATTCTAGCAGCCATTTCAGGCTATGAGCTGACACAGAGAAGAGAGACCACATGCTGAGGATGACACCGCATAAAGTTAAGAAGCTGAGTCATAGAGGCTACTATGAAGCCAACATTACCAATGCTTAACTGTTCACCTTCAGATCTTACCTTAAATAAGCTTCTGTCCTATTTAAGCCACTGTTAATATTTAGTCATGTACAGCAGAACTTAATCCTAACTAATTCACTTGGGACCCAGGCTCTGTGAATTAATTGCACACAGTGTGCAGGACTTCAGCCCTAAAGAACCAGGCCCTGAGAATGTGTTTTCTGGCAAGGACAGTGGGTGAGGGATCAGCATTTTGGAGGCAACAGTGGTGAGACATTTGCATCCAGTGCCACGTGTCAGGGGTAGGATCTCCAGTGTGTGTGCCCAGCAATGGCTGTGGGGCATTCTCTAGAACAATCCCACATGTATTTAGGGCCATTTCCTGGCTACCCAGCCTCTAGGGCCAACTCCCTGGGCCTCCCAGGGATTCCATGTGCTACCTGATAACTCCAATAAATCATTTTCCTGTTTCAGCAGCAAGGAACCATAAATGATATACCACTCCCCTTAGGTCTACCTTAAAATAAAGATCGTAATCTTCAATACCTTAACCTTTATCCTACCAGCTTTAAACCACTGACTTAATCCCAAGGTTTCCCCACTTTTCTGGGTGTGGGAGTGACTGCAGTTGGACACCAAAATCCATTCTTCTTTTAAAATATGGGTCTACCGGGGCCGGCTGAGTGGCACGTTGGTTACGATTTGGTTTGGGACACCTGCTCTGAGTAGCAGGGCCCCGGTTCAGATCCCACATGTGGGCCAGTGATGCGCCCTCTACAGCTATGATGATGAACAACAGCTCGACCTGGAGCTGGGCTGCCGTGACTCACCAGCGAAGGCGTAGGCTGCAGCCACTGCTGCAGTGAGCTGCCGTGAGCCACCATGAGTGGCCATCCAATGGCCGGCAAGTGACTGCCTCCCCCGGGAAGAGCGCAATGATAATACCAACATGGGCCAGTGAAGCGACGTCCTCTACAACTAGACTGAAGAACAAAAGGACAGCAATTTGTCTGTTCCCCTTCCCCGATTCCCCAACGCTGTTTCCCTCCCCCAATTCCCCAATAAAATCTTTAAAAAGTAAAATAAATCAAATAAAGAAAGTAAAATGTGGATCTACCCTTGTGACTAGGTATAGGACACAACTGAACCTCACCAATGGAATATGAACAATTGTGACCTGTGCAACTCCTGCCTCACTTGCATAATGGGAAGATGCTTCCTTGGGTTTTCTCTCTCAATTTTTTTTTCCAATACTCATGATATAACATCAACCAAGATGATGAGGAAGCATCATCGGGGATAGCAGAGCCACAAGATGGAAAGAGTCTGAGTCCCTGAGTAACTTCATGGAGCAGAGCTGCCTCAACAGCCTGGACTATCTCCCATGGAACATGGAAAAAGAATAGACTTTCATTTTCTATAAGCTGCTGTCTTGGGGGTCTCTATCAGCTTTACCTTTCTCTGCTAATACAATGATAATGGTGGAATACTAGTCAGGGAACTTGCAATTACAAGGAGACACCAATGCAGGGAACCATGTTCTCAGAGTATGTCTTGTGTTCCCATTTTAGAAGGGAAAGATACACACTAAACGGTGTGGCCACACAGTCAGGAGACACTAAAGAATCCCCCAGTCTTAGGATCTCTGCTAGATCTAGCCACAATCAAATAATCTTTTTTGCTTGCCTCAGTTTAAAGTACATACATTCTACTATTTCTACCGCAGACTTTAAAATGTATGTTTTTACCTTTTATAATTTTGCCCACAATGTTTAGCAAAACAGTTGTTTTCATTTGCAACTATCTTCATTACCACATCTTCCCTCGTTTTTATGGATTGAGTTATTTTTTAATAAACACTATTACATTCAAATCTAATATTCAGGCTTTAATATAACTATGCCCTTTTTTTCTCTCTCTCTTGCTCTTTTTGTTTGTTTGTTTGTTGATTGGTTGTGGTTTTTTTGTTTTGTTTTTAAAGAAATTTTATTGCGGAACAATGTGTTTTTCCAGGACCATCAGCTCCAAGTCAAGTAGTTGTCTTCAATCTAGTTGTGGAGATTGCAGCTCCTTGGCCCATGTGGGAATCAAACCTGCAACCTTGGTGTTAAGAACCTGTGCTCTGACCACTGAGATAACCGGCTGCCCCCGGTTGTTGTTTTTTTTTTTTACCATGCCCTTTTAATTTGAGCTTCTAGATCAGGAGTCCGGACACAGTGGCCATTTTTTAAGTTCTATTGGAAATAACCACACCCATTTATTTATGTATTGTCTATGGATGCTTTCACACTACAGTGATAGATAAGTAATTGTGACAGAGACCAGGTGGCACACAAAGCCAAAAATATTTACTATCTAGCCCTGTATAGAAAACATTTGCCAACCCGTTCTACACGTATATTGATTTTACTCTGATTAATATTTTTATTCTCTCTGCTTATCTTTTATCATCATGTCTCTCCTAATTTCTATTCTTTTTTATTCTTATCCCTTCTGTCTTTAAGTTAAAGTTTAACATGCTTTTGGCTTAACTTTTATCTTACGAGTTTCACAAACTTTTATTAGCTTTGCTGAACTTTTATCTTACCCGTTTTGTCTTTCAATTAATCATTTATTTCTTAATGATCTTTAACATTATCCCTATTGCTCCCTGTTTATTTAGTAACTGTAAGAAGTGCACTTGCAGGCAGTGACCCTTGGACAAATGCTCAACAAGATTCTTCTCCAAATCTTCTCCTGTTATCAGGTAAGTCTCAAGGCTGTGCCTTAATAAGGCCCAACTCTACCATCCAGTCACTGTTTGAGGAACCCATTCATCAGATGGCTACTTAATGAATCCTTCGCCTTTGCAGGTGTCAGGCCCACACCACCTCCTGACCATACAGGTTGGCTACCCTTTGGCCCAGGACACTAGGCCTGCCCATGTCAGATCAAATGATTCAAAGAGCAGCCGGAGCCTATGAAATGCTTAAGTTAGAGAGGGCTGATGGCTCATTCTCCCAGACCTGTACATTTAAAACCTTCTGAGCCTTATTCTTTATCTCCAGTGGCTGAGATTAGCTATATCCAGAGCTCTAAATCTCAATAATGGCTGTAGAGTTTGCCAGGGTTTCACCTAGAGATAATTCAAATTTCCAGCTTGCACAATGTTCGGGCAATGTGATGGATATGAGAGATAAAAAGTCAAAATAGACATGGATTCTCTCCTCAATGAATTTATGATCAAGTTGGAGAGGAAAATAGTGAAACAATTATAATATAGTAGAGTGGGTTTTGTTGCGATATATTGTAAGAGCATGTATCGATAATTAATCTATATCGATAGCTGTGCACAGACTGAGTTCTATTTTGGGGTTCGATACGCAAGACACACCACCACAAGCCGCTGGAGAGTAGATAAGAGGTTTATTGTTAACAGAGAAAGAGCTAAGGGGAATACAAAGTAAATAGTCACAAGGGAAATAGAAAGTAAATAATTACATTATACCATCACGGCCCTTTCATGCAGTTCAGCTCAGGAATCAAAGCATCATGGGCATTTCTCAGAGTAATGACACAGCGGAATCTATTGAGGAAGAGCTGCTGTTCTTCCCTGTCTCCTGGGGCTTCTTACGGGTTTTCTAACAAAGGTGGCTTAGAGCCAAATGGCTTATGCTAAGCAATGCACGGGACCAGTCCCGGATCTGTCCAGGAGGCGGGGCCAGCCCGTGGTACTGATTAGGATTAGTCCTTGGAGTCCAGCTCAGTCTCGAAGACCTTGGGCAAGCTCCACATCTCATTCCTTAAATCCCTGGAGAGTAGCCAATCCTCCAGAGAGTAAGTGTATACCCAAGCCATGAATCCAATCATATGACCCCAGGCAGGACTTTTTCCTTCTAAATTCTCAAACAGAGCACAGAGGAAGGGTATCTACAGCAGGGAACATTCCGAAAAAGGCTGACAGAAGGTAGTCCACCAGGCTCCTACGCGGTCAGTGGACTGCTCAACTCCATTCCCCACCACCCAAGAGCCCCCTGAACTATGACACAGAGTAATATGAGCTTACAGGAGGCATTCCATGAATGCCGAATTAAGAAAGGACCCAGACACAGAAGGCCCCCTCTTCTATAGAGACCCCATGCAAGGCACAAGCTACATAGAGACAGAAATGAGCATGACACCTTATAATCGTAACTGTCCCCTTCTGTGCCCACACACACACACACACATCACTACTACCCAGCCAACACAGAAAACAAAAGGGAAATTGGACACCCCACACACAGTGGCCAAGAGTGAAAAGATAAGACAAGCAGGTGTGATTAAGGCTTTATTAGGGAGCAGGCAGGGTTTGCCAGGGTCCATGCTGGGTGAGAATGGCCTGTACCCCAGGCCAATACTGGTCTTCAAGACGGTGCTGGGAGCTCAGGGCTAAGCTCTATAGGTCAGGGGTCCAATTAGCTCCTCAAAGCAAAGTAACCACTGAAAGGAAGGTCAGCCTGGTTGGATTTACTACAAGAGGGATAATGTGGGAGGGGGTAGAAACATCACTGATGAAAAGTGGGGAGCTGATGCTTTAGAGTGCTTGGACAAAAAGGGAGCTGGGAAAATGATATGAGGGCCAATAAGGCATCTGGTGAGGGGCAGAAGGGAGTGAAAAAAAGAAAGAAGTAAGACTGCCGGTTCTAAGGGTGCAGAGAAGTCCATCTGTTCTCCAGGGCCCTGTGTGCTCCTTGCACCCAAATTCTGACTGCACATGAACCTACTTGTTGTCCCACACAGCAACCTTTAGAAAGAGAGGTCCTGGGAGGAAATGGCTAGACTTCATGTAGGCAGAGATCTTCGTCAGGCCTGAGGGTTAGGCAAAGCAGGACAGACCTTGGGTATGCGGCAAGCCGGGACTCATAACTCCCTCCTAAGCACACAGAGTTCAGGGCAGTGGTGAGTAATCAGAGTTGAAATCTCCAGGCCAGGGGTCCGGTTGGGCTCCTTGAACCAGAGAAACCACTGAAAGGAAGGTCAGTCTGGTTGGCTTTAGTGCAGGAAGGACAACATTAAGGGGGAGACTTCACTGAGACAACTGGGGTGCTGTAGAGCATTCAGATGTGGGTGAATTGGGATTGGAGAAGGGAAAGGGGCCAAACAGGGCCTGAGTGAAGGACAGAAAAAAAGAACGAATAAACAAGACAGCTGGTTCTGGCGGTTCAGGGATATCCGCCTCTTCTCCAGGGCCTGGGCATAGTGGCACAGCACTGGCTTCTAGCACCCATTGCTGGCTGTAAAGGCCCTACTTGTTGCCCCACAAGGCCATCTTTCCAAACAAAGGGCTTGGGAGGAAGCGGCTGGACTTCATGTAGGCTGAGATCTTCTTCAGGCCCTGAGGGTAGAAAAAGAAGGCGAGATTCAGGGTCTGCTGCCCCACTGTGGAAAAGCAGCCCCACTCCTGGCACACCAACTTGAGAATCCGGGCAACCCTCCTGGTAGGGTCAAGGGTTGGGGCAGAAGACAGTCTACCTGGCTGGGATTCCCAGCTCTGATAAATGAATGCATCCAGTTTCCTGTAACGGATGTGATACTTAGTAAGAGTCACCACATATAAGACTCTACACAGTGCTAGGTGCTTTAATCTCCACTAGAGATGATACTAGAGGTTTAGAACCTCAACGCAACTCCCGATAAGATAAGATCTACAACCACCATTCATCAGAGGGGAAACCGAGGCACACAGAGCTAAAGCGCCTTCCTCATGCTCACACAGCTAGAAAGTGGGAAGCACTGGAAGGCAGGCTGGAAGGCAGCCTGGTACACACTCTCACTCCCACTCTATGCTCCTCATGCTGTACTTTCCTCCTGCACAGGAGGCCTTGACCCTCCCAGTCTGCACAGTCTACTTCTGCAGAGGGAAGCTCCTTGCTTTGCAAGGTTTCCAACAGAGAGACCGTGACAGAACAAAGGGGCTCAGAATGTGCCTGTGCAGCTCATGGAATAGGCCAGATCACACCCAACGACTCAGCAAAACCCGGATAAAAGCTGATAGGAGGCTGTGCAGCAGGAGAGCCAGGCCAGGCCAGACTCTTAATTACTCCACTGAAAGGAGGAAGTCCAGCTGCTTGGCCTGGTACCAGAACCCAATCTCTCTGGGCCCCAACCTACCTCACCCCAGTCCTGCCACAGAAAACTAGGCCTTGGACAGGTGAGTGTGAGCACCATCTTCCCAAGATAGAGAGTGACCAGTAAGTTCTACACGATTCAAAGATCCTCAGACTGCCTGTCCCCAACAGGCCAGAGCCTGTAGCCAACAGTTGTCCCCATCCCTACCTGCCTGTTGGCTGCCCAGCTCTTGCATAATCACCAAGCTGTTTGGATCAGAACCAGAGCTGATGAGAACTAGCTCAGAAAGCAGATCTCTTGATGGGGCGTGGGAAAGGGAAACATTGCAGGTAAAAACCTGTTGGTCTGATGCCTCAAATTCCCAAAACGTTCATAAAGCAGACTTTGTGAGTTGCCTGCCGGTGACCGATGATGAGCTGTGAGGTGGGGTCCACGCTCTGCTCCTCCAGCACCAAGCTGGGACCACACCACCACACAGCCTGGTACTCCTGTACTTCTCCAACTGCACTGAGCCGCAGGA